ATTTACAACACTGTTCCAGAACAGTTCAACCCAAATATTCAGATGTGTGCTGCACATTTTATGGAGGATGGATGAGGACTGTTTCCTGAACCAGTAGCCTAATGCGTCTGTGGAACAAAGGCTGTTTCTATAAAGGACAGTCTGGCGCTTCTGACTCACAGCCTGTAAGTAAGTTTTTTATAATTAAATAATTTGCCAATGATGATTCAAACGTGAGTTTTGAGCAGTGTAGAGTAGCGCGTGTTGTTTGTCATTTCTCCGATCACAAATGCAGACGTGGTTTTATGTTTACGCGGCAAAAAGACAGTATAAGTTATTATAATCTGTAATTATGTCCCCACTGGATGCAACAAATGCCTCGTTTGGGTTTTGTCTTGTCTAGTGATGTCCGGACCGCGAACGAATCGTTCTATTTAACTGGATCTTCTTAGTGAACCGGTCGAACCAGTTCACCAAATCGAACTGAATCGTTTGAAACGGTTCGCGTCTCCAGTACGCACTAATCCACAAATTACTTAAGTTATTCGGTTCATAAACGTGCCTGACACTCCCTCTGACATGAAATAAACCAATATCCCGAGTTATTCAGTTACTCCTAACAGTACATTGACTGAACTGCTAAAAGAGAACCAATGATGGGATGTGCACAAGCAGAGCAGCTGGACTGAGTCTCATCCTGCTGGGACACGGCATCACAGTATATGAGGGGCGTAACATTTCCGTCACATGTTTGAGGTATTCGGCCAATCACAAGGCACTGGATAGCTGGCCAATCAGAGCACACCTCGCTTTTCAGACCGATGAGCTTTGTAAAAATCGACGCGTTTCAGAAAGGCGGGCATAGAAGAGCAACAATAATGTACAGTACGTGGAAAATAATGTGTTTTTTTAACCTTAAACCACATAAACACATTTCATTACACCAAATACACAAAATAATGTTCTTTTTAGCAACGTCATATGACCCCTTTAAAGATTTACTCATTTATATTCAATCTTTGAACAACATTTAGCGGTTTATCTTGTTCTATTCTGTGTCCATGCACACTAACCAGTGTGTTTGTTAGAAGTGCACTAGGTATGCAGGATACATCCATGAGCACCACAAAGCTCTTGCAGTGCTCCAAACTCAGCTTCTTCTCGCTACCTGCAAAGACTGACCGGGCAGAAAACAGGAAACAGAAACAATATCATCCAACTCACTTCCTCACTGGTAACCGCATTACTTCCTGTATGGTTTTCAACTCTGCAGCAGAACTAATGAAAAGAATCGCATTATAACGGCACAGTGAACACTACTTCTCCTGCAAACTGCATTTTGCATTGAAAGGCAAATGCAGAAAAAAAAGAAGTGAACAGATGAAAAACAGCTTGTGAATAAACACGTTCTCACCTCCTTTTGCAATGGTTTCGGTCAGCAGGTTATAGAGATCCAATGGACTACAATAAGGCCCCTATAGACAACATGTATACAAACACTATGAACATTCACACGCATATGACATTAGAGCTACATATTAGATATAAAAATGCATGCACAACCTCAATAGCACTGTATTGGGCAGCTCAGCATGCAAGTAACGTGTTTACCTTCACACAGTGTTTCACAAAGAGATCCCTCGCTTCATTCGCAGACGGCAGACCTGCGAGACGTGGAGACATTGGCTACACACACACACACACACACAAACAATTAAAAACCAACAATTAAATGGACCCAGTGATAATAAATGATCTAAGCAGTGAAACTAGATCAACTTCTCCATATTACCGGAGTAACTGAGCTCGAGTCTACTCCTCGTGCCTCAACACCTCTGCAAACACACAAACATATATATATATATATTTTGAAATATATAGTGATTTATTATGTTAAAACAAAGAAAACAAGTCTTTAGATTCATCCCATGTTCCAAGAACGTTTTGCTAATGTTCCCATCAAGTTATAAAAACGTTATTTCTGAATGTGCCCCGAACATTCAAATAGTCCAGGTTTTAAAACGTTTTTAAAACATTCGGCAAACGTTGGGGAAACATTCTATTTTATATTTTTAAACATTATGAGAATGTTACTTTTGAATGTTCTCTGAACATTCCAAAACAAGTAGTTACATTTAAGCGGGTTTTGTGATAACATTTTGAGAGCATTATTAAACACCAATTCACTTTAAACAAATGTTCTATTAAGGTTCAGGGATGCAAACTCATCATGGGTGAAAAAGGTAACAAAGACAAGCACATCACCCCTCCCCCCAACAAAATAAAACCCTACATTTTTTAAACAATTATAATAATTTAAAACCTTTATTTATATTTTCTAACTTCACTTTAAATGTTCACTTTCAATCATGAAAGAGAGAGGAAAAAAATTGTCTCCTGGTGGAAAACAAACACTTTAGATGAAAATGACATGAAATGACCATTATATCCAGTAGATGGCAGCAGAGGATCACCCATGAGCTCAGTTGCCATTTCCACTCCCTAGGTTTTCTCACGTCTTAATTTTGGATTTATTACAAAATGACTATGAAGTACAGCAAGTGCAGGAAGTCACAAAGTCTCATGTCATTTAAAAATATATAAATAAGCCCAGACAGCCTAGTAGGGTTAATTATTTAAATACTTAACTAGTTAACTACAAATTAAGTTAATTATTAATGGTGTGATAATTAAATAATGCATTAAATATTTTGGCGCTTTTATAGATTTAATTTAAAAACTGCATTTTTCAAACATTGCCTAAAAAAGGACACATCAAAAGGAGAGCTGTAAGTTATCTTTACCTGTAGAAGCTGCTAAAGGCAACACAGACTTGTTGCTGCTGTAGTTTTGTTACTCTGAATTGACTCTGCATCACTTAAAGCACAGCTCTGTTTTGACATCGGCTTGTCAGTTATCACCGTCAATCGCGGATCAATTTGGCGCATCATTATTTACACTCGTGTTTGTCATTCCTGAAACAGTATACGTGGACGGTTTGGTCCCCTTACACTTTTCTTCAAACTGTGAATGAAGTAAAAACCGAGCAAAGACTTCCCTTACATCGTGTATGTATTTTTTACTTTGTCTCACATATTTCTCCAAAATCTCATTATGGGAAATGAAAACAGACAGAAATAAGTCAGTAGCTGTTGAACAGAAAAGAGTGCATGGTGAAACATTATATTTATATATTATAACATTATATTAGTATATTCTAAAACTTAAAATAAAATGAAAATCGAAAATACAAAAATAAAAGCTATTTCAAAATATTAATGTTGAATAATAATAATTTTAAGATGAATTCAATTTAAATTAAATGAGAAAAACATAGTATTGTTAATTAAAATGAATAAATATTTATAAATAATACTAAAATAACACTGCATCATTTGCTCTTGGCAGAAAGAGTTTCATATCCAGTTTTCAGGTATTTGATTGCAGCCTTTCCATCTTTGCAAATCTAAGCAAAGTCCGAGACAATATTACTATAGCATTAGGTTTCTGGATCTGTTTCTCACAATAAACACCCAAGATTCGCTCTAGATGTAATCACATTGCTGTCAAATGAGATTTTAAACAGATCTCATTTGTGATTTTCTTGCATGTGGGTGAGCATCACTTACATGGTTTTGTTTCCTTTCTCGGTCAGGACTCTCAGGAGGAATTCTCCCACCTGATTGGCCTCTGAAGTGCTGGGAATGATGATGTAATGACCGGGCGCCAGGCGACCGCGATACACCAGCTCTCGCCGCGGGACATAACCAAGGTCTTTAGTGGTGCTGAGCACCAGGCTCAACTGAGACACGTCCCGAGAGGAGAGGAAATCAGGCTCGGATCGGGCCTGATCACACACACAAACATTAGACAGAGACACACAGTCAGAAGACTAATATACTCAGAAACTCTCGATTCTCTTTTTATTCTCTTTTTCTTTTCTTTTTATATAATATGTAATATATAAGAAAAAATTTAATGCGTTTTATATAATACAATATTATATATTATATTGCTTTCTGTAAGCATTACAAACATATAAAATATAATATATTATATAATGCAGTAAGTAGTTTTTCCTTTGAAGCAGTACAATAATAATAAACAATAAATAATATATAATAAAGAGACTAGTTCTTCCTTCAAAGCAGGGTAATTATATTTAACAAATTAAAACCATTACATTTTTTTTGTTACTTTGTTAACTGAAATAAAATGTAATAATTGACTTTAGATGCTATATATATATATATATATATATATAAAAAATATTAATATAGTATATAATACAATGACTAGTTATTCCTTCAGAGCAGGGTAATTATAGTTAACTAAAACTAAAACCATAAAAAAAATTGTTACTTTAAATAACAAAAAAAAAAAAAAAAAAACATGTTGATTGAAATAGTGTAATATTAAAAAAGTATTTCTTTTATAAATAATATATAATAAATCATATTTAACACACTATATAATACAATGACTAGTTCTTCCTTCAACGCAGGGTAATCATAGTTAACTAAAATTAAAACCATAAAATATTCCTTTACTTTACTAAAAGTGAACTGAAATAAAATATACTATAAAAATGTAACTTATTTTATTTTAGCTAGTTGCCAAGGCATCATTTCTCATTTTCATTTAGTTTAACTTTATGTTCTATAATAACTAAATCTGAAATGTAAAAATGTAAATAAAAATTCATTTAAAAAAATGACAAAAACACATAAGGACTTTTAATAAAATTAAAACGAAAGCAGAAAAACTAATTCAAAATATGAATAAAAACTATAATAGTATCTCAATGGTACTAAAACAACATTGCTTAGAAGTGTTGATTATAGCAGTCTGGAAACTTCCCAGCGGATTGATATAAAGTTGTGCACGGAAAAGTGCGTAAAGGCAACCAGTCAGACTGCAGCTTTCCTGTCCGACAATACACACTCGAAACACTTGTGCGAAACCTTGTATATGTGCAGCGCCACGGGGAACAGCATTCCTCTCTGACGAGCGCATTTCTGCATGAGCGCCAGCAGGAATGAGCACGTTAGTTCAGGGTCACTGGGGTCGTCGTCCTCTTCCAGCAGGGTCAGACTGTACTGAGGAGGCCCTGCAAACACAAACATGTGAATATCATACAGTGACCAGTTCTTCTTTTGAAGCAGTAGAATATTTGTGTATGTGTGTGAAAAGTGATGCTCATGTACCTTGCTGAGAAATCCATCGTCCATGATGCGATGTACATTTCCAGGGCTTTATGTTTCCGCTCTCACTCAGCGTGTCTTCGCTCTGGTGACAAACCTCCATCGTCTCAAAGTTCTGGCAGAAATCGACCAAAGACATCCTGATCGGAAGAGAGAGAAGATGACGAAGCTGCGTCAGCCATCTAAACCAATCAGAGCAGAGCCTGAATATGAATCAGCCAATCAGCAAAGAGAGAAAACCGACTCACCAGAATTCCCCGTCTTCTTGCTGGATTCTCTGCACACGCCGCTGCTCTTCAGCGCTCACCATATTCCACTCGATTCTAAACACACACATTACACAAATAAATACACTCAAATACGCACTTGGCCAAAAGTTTTCTTGTCAAAACAAAGAAATATCATGGACTTCAATATAAAGCTAATTAGAATGACTACAGACTAGCCTAAAACCTAAAAGAAGACTTTTTTAATAATAACAATAAACACTGTTTACTTCATTAATGAATTATTGAGAGGTTTTGTCATATTTAGCTCAATTCTAAGGATAGTTCTGTCAAACTACAGATAAATAAACATATACAAATACAGTATATATATATATATATATATATATATATATATATATATATATATATATATATATATATATATATTCAGT